ATATATATATATATATATATATATATATATATATATATATATATATACACACAAAGTATATCATGTGCTTTTTAGCTTATATTACTACCTTGAAAAATAATTAATCATTCAAATTCATCCTGCTTGCAGTTATATTATTCATTTATTCAACCTTTATTTAGACAGATAAGTCACATTGAGCCTGGAAGACTCATTTACAAGTGAGATCTGTTTAGATAGACAAAAAGTAGTGAAACTGGACACATGTAGGAATTGGAGGTGAAAAAATTCCTATCAGACTTTTTTTTCCTGCCTGAGAAGAAAAAACTCTGATATTAAAAAACACCTCGCACAAACAAGCACATAGTGATGTAGACATTCTGCAGAGGGGGAGACGACGAGAGCGGTGAGCATGATCATAGATGCTCTCAAGGGCACTGTAAGAGTTCTGATAAGGATGGAATAATCAGCCATTGTCCTCCGGTGAGATCCATAAACCTTCTCAAGGTATGTCAAGGAATGGCCAAGAATAATGACTATGAGAATCCAAGAGTCCTGAAATGATGACAAAGTTTATTCAGCTGGTTTTATCTGGTTATCAGTTGGAAATTCCTCAGGGAGGGGGCGGTGAACGTCAGATTACACTTTTTCCAGGTAAATTCAGATAAGGTGGCCTTCAAGGCCAGCCAAGGGAGCCAAGTTCAGATAAACACAGTTGTTTTGAGGACAGGCAGAACTTAATGACATCTACCTTGAGTTTGTGTTGGTCCACTTGATTCCGAAATGTCCAAAATACATGGCCACACCAATGGAACGTGACTGAGTAAAATCCCCAAGATCTGATCCATTCAGCCCAAAGCATTTGAGTCCGGGTACTTGAGACACAAACCAAGCAATAATAAAGGCAAGCAGCGTGATCGGGTCCAAATTTGCTGCCGACGACTTCCTTGATCGATTGATAAAACCAGCAACCAGCCGAATCCAAAAAGCAGGAACCAGTTATTAAAAATCCAATTAAATATGTGCCCTTAAAATCTACAGATGGCAGCAGAGATAGACACATCATAAAGTCTTCCAGTCGATGAGATATCCAGCTGCGTGCGTGCCAACAGGGCAAATTGGCTCGCCTAAAGCCTGTCTTCTCTTCGAAGAAATGTTGTAAATTGAGTTGAGGGACCAACATATCAAAACAAGTCCATAATTATGGTTTGGAAGATATGCAAGAGAGGCTCAGAAGCAGTTTCACAGACAGACAAAACAGCAAAGCAAAGCGGAGATGGAGGGGAGAAGCGTCCGATCTCGGGAAGAGCAAGTGGTGAAGTGTTATACCATGTTGTTGTTTACTATCTCTCTTTAGGACGTTGTAAATATTATAATTACCTTTTCACTTTTTGGTACTTAATTTTTGTACCCTTATTGCATGGTTTAGTAGTTCTTGTTTGTTTGTTTGTTGATTTTTTAGCGAGTCAAACCGGTTCTTCTCTTCGTGAGCATTTAATTGTACTGTTAACCCTGTGTTAACTATGCATATGACAAATAAACACAACTTGAACCCCTGAATGACTGTGGATCTACACCAACACCTAACATCTAGAAGTTATCTCCCCTCAGTTGATCCCAACGTGTCTTTTGCAGAATTTAAGCATTATGACTGTTTGTTAAACTGCATTGATATCATAAATCTCTCATCTAGGACCAGACTGTTATAAGTCATCACATAAAGCATAAATGTCTGAAGTTTTATATTTTATGGCTAGAATTTCTTAAAACAATAATTACTGCCTGCTGTCATCTACTGCTGAGAAATAGAGTTATGCATGTTTTTCCAAGGTCGGTTAACGACTGGTAATGCTGTATTCTAGGCTGTGCACATAAATTTGTTGTCCATTTTCAGCCCCATCAACATGAAGATAGATTGATAGATTTGGATATTTTTTTTTATAATTATTATTATTATTGTCAGCATAGTTTTTTGACATGAGGCATGGTGGCTCAGTTGGTAGAGCTGTTGCCTCACAGCGATAAGGTTGCTGGATCAAATCCTGGCCAGGGACCTTTCTGGGTGGAGTTTGCATGCTCTCTCCGTTCATGCATGGGTTTTCTCCAGGTACTCCAGTTTCCTCCCACAAATTAAAAACATGCATGTTAGGCTGATTGGTGACTCTAAACTGTCCCTAGTTGAGAGTGAATGTTTGTTTGTCTCATTTGTCTCTATGTGTCCCTGTGATGGACTGGAGACCTGTCCAGGGTGTCCCTGCCTCTTGTACAGTGGCTGCTGGATATGGGCACCAGTGATCCCTGCAACCTAAAAAGGAAAGACGCAGGTGAAAGATGATGGACGGATGGGTTTCAGACCTGGACATTTGGGGCTGTAGCCTTGAATGTTTTCTGTCACAGAAGGCACCCTGCAAGCAAAACAACCTGCCGGACAGCTGTCAGAAAGCTCCTCTGCAGATGTCAAATTACTGCTGTAAAGCTTTAGATCTTAAAAAAGTTAAATCTGGTCCTCTGGACATTCAAAAAAAAATTGTAGAAACGTTTCGTCTTTCATCCGAAATACTTCCTCAGTCTGAGGTGCTGTATTCAGCCCAGTCTTATAAATAGCACCTTCTCAGAGTGGATCAACCAGTTTGCTGCTGACAACCAAAACCAGCTGCTCACATGATCAAGGAGGACCATAAGCCTAAGGATGGACCATTAGCACACTGATGGCTGTTTACTATTCACAGGGGGCTGTGTGATACTAGCAATCACAGCATTGTAAGAGGGGGATAATTGAACACGTAGGCCTCCACCCCTGTTTAATGATGGACAGATTCTTTTCACAAAGATGGCCTCCTTTACTCCGCTCTCAAACCATCATTCCTCTCTGTCCAGGATGTGAACATCTTCATCCCTGAAAGAGTGACCGCTGGCCTGGAGATGAGTGTAGACCGCCGAGTCCTGGCCTGATGATGTTGATCTTCTGTGCTTGGTTGATGATCAAAAGCACAGAAGATCAACCTCCATGTTCAACTGTCCCCCTCTTACAATGCTGTTATTGCTAGTATCACTCAACCCTCTGTGAGTAGTAAACAGCCATTAATGTGCAAATGATCCATTGTTAGGCTGATGGTCCTTCTTGATCATGTGAGCAGCTGGTTTTGGTTGTCAGCAGCAAAACTGGTTGATCCACTGCGAGAGGGTGCTATTTATAAGACTGAGCTGAATACAGCACCTCAGACTGAAGAAGTCTTTCGCATGAAAGACTAAACGTTTCGACATTTTTTTTTAATGTCCAGAGGACCAGATTTAACTTTTTAAGATTTTTCTACCTGGATTATTGAGCATGCATCTGTAGACGCAAGCTTTAGAGTTACAGAAACTAAATTGAGACAGATTTCAGACTACTTTGGCAAAGTTGAGGTGTTTGATCTGCCCGTGACAACTCTATGTCTATTTTGTGACAAAAAATTGCCACATTTTTTTCTCATTACAAATTTAAGTGTCAAGACTGAAGTCTCTGTGACTCCTGCAATGAAGCTGAGAACCATCTCATACTTTTTAAAACATTTTGGAGACTCCCCTGAATTTCCGTTTGTAGTGAGATAGGTCGGTTAGCTTCATTAGCTTCGGAGCTCCACTACATGTTATAATATCTGGACTAGTTCAAGTACCTGATATTATACTTAATTTAAACGGGTTCTCTCTTTTTCGAGCTACTTGACAGATATGTGACAGAGATCAGTGACGTGAGACGTTAATTTTCTTTGACCATCAAAATGAATGCGGTCATTTATTAACAGAATCAAAGTTTAACATCAAACATTGTACACGTGATTATTCTGATTGAAGCAATAACACAGCTTAATTACAACAGACATTTATGAAAATATCTGGATGAATTACTGGCAAGATAGAAGAGTTTTAAAGATGGGAAATGAAGTTTAAATGGAGAGGGAAAGATGGATGAGGGAATATGTGTCTGTATAAGAACGGTACTCTCCATTCGATCCCAGCTTCACCTCGGTACACTTAGGTAGTGGAAATCGACTCTTTACCTGTAGAAGATGTCTCCACTGGTACGGAGTTCCATTTAACGCCACCTTTCCAGCGTCTCCGTAGGAACAGCTGTGAATCGTCCGAAGTAGTGACGGTACTTCGTTCAACACACGTTCACCTCACGGGTGGACTCACATGAGGAGTAAGTCCGTCAGAGGTTCCACTCAGATGTGGAAGATTCCATAATTCTCACAAGACTCGGAAGAACTTCGGATCATGTCTGGAACCTCCTGTTCTCTCCAGCAACTTTTCTGTTCGGTTCTGCCCTCCGAACTGAACTGCTCTCCCACCGCACTGGTTGGAACTAGGAAGTGTCGACATTTAAAGAGTTCTGTTTCCGGTTCATTTGGGAAGTTCTGATTGGCTGAAAGAGCCAATCAGGGGTGTGTTTTTTGTGACGTAAGAGGTCACTAGAAGTCAGAAAAACAGAAAAATGTTTTGGAACAGACAGAAAATGTTTTTGAAACAGACAAGAGAAATGTTTAGGCGAGATGGGAGGAAACAGGTGCCAGCTTCTCTATTTACATCTGAGAGGATTTAAAAACATGACAGTTCGTTCCAACAAACTTGTTGGCGTTTGTCTCCGACTTTTGACCGACTTACAACCTGCTCATTTCAGACAGAAGATCAAGAAAATGAATAATTACTCTGTAACAGACATTAACAAGATTTCTACTTTGAATGAGTATTAAAAATCATTAATACTGTTTCACAGTTGATTTAAAATAAGTAGTTCACTTCAACATTTAAAAATGATTTGAATTAAACACACTTTTGATTATCAAGACATTTGTAAAATAGTAATGATAATAGAAAAAGAGTGTGTTCTTTCAATTGATCAGTGCAGGACACACTTAGAAAGTCTCTGGATGAACTTAATTTTGTGTTTCTGGACTCAAATAAATGAAATAACAGTTCTTGTCCCTGAAAGGCCCTCAGGGCCAGATTTGACCTGAGGCTTAGTTCACTACACGTTTGTCAACTAGTCTCCAATAGTCGCAGTCCAGTGAGATACTGGCTGTAGAGTGGAACAGTATCCAGACATCCAGCTTCAATCCAGACATGTTTGAATATATCACATACCGATAAGTCTTGGAGGGAGTAGTGAGAGCTCAGTCCAGTGTTTCATTTGTGGTGTTAAAAATAAAAAGTATCAAACAAAAGTTTGGACACACTTTTCTCCATTAATTAACTTTTCTTTATTGACAAACTTTTATTCTGTACATTGTAACTTGTTCCTTACTTTTTGTGCTATTTTAACTATTCATATATCAAAACATTCAGCTCGTTCAGGACATTCCTGCTTTGACCTTTAGTTTTTTTTTTTCCTACAATATTTACGTTTTGAAATATTTCAATTTTTTTGGCCATGTTTTTCTAATTGAAAATGAATGGAGCTCTCCTTACATCCTTCAAACCACTGTGCTGTTTAAAACCCTTTATTGTTCATTTCAGCTTTTGTTCTGCTTTCACCTGCTAAATTCACCTTTTTTCTGTCTTTTTAAAATCCATTTTCTGTTTATTTTAGATTTTTTTCTGACAGTTCTTTTGTGCTTCTTTGTATTAATGTAAACTTTTATTGTCCTTTCAGCCTCTTTCTACAAATTTCAGCATTTTCTTTTAGCTTTTTCAGCTACTTTTTCCATCGCCAATTTCAACATATTTAATTTTGCGTATTTCAGTGTCTTTTTGCTAGTTTCAGATCTTTTGTGATAATTTCATCCTCTCTGTGCCTAATTCAACTTATTCTGCTCATTTCTGCTCATGGGGTTGCGCAGCTCGGTGGTCAGTGCCATGGTATTGTAATCCCGAAGGTTGCAGGTTTGAGTCCAGGATGCATCAGGTTGCACTTCCCATTTTAATAAAGTGTTTTTCTTCAGTATGTCTCTGTATGTTCTCCAACTACATACATTTTGATTTTCTGCTTTTTACCTTTTCTAGGAATGGATTCCATCTTCCCTGACATGGACAGTGACACATCTCAGACAAGTTTCAGCGACTGCTTCATGTCCACTCCAGACTTGCTGCAGGCTCAGACAGGGAACCCCATGGACAGCCTTTACTCCATGCAGAGCTCCTACTTTGCTTCCTGAGACGAGACCCCATCATCACTGTGGGGACCAGTTTATCTTCTTCCAGACCCTGAACAATGAACAAAAACTGGTACCAGCAGAAAACAAAAGGTTGCCGAGACATTATGCATCATAGGAACTACTACACACTCTTGATTGACCTCCATAAGCCCACCTCAGGCTCAAATCTGGAGCATGTCTTCTCAGGCTGAAATGAATCAGTGCCACTGTAAGATAGTAACATTTAAAAAATGTAGTTATGGTGATGTGCTTTTAGTGAACAAGCTGTTCTTGTTTAAAGATCGGTCTGTATAAATAAGCAGACTGGCCTCTATGTTGAAATATTTATAATGTACTTTCTGTAAATACTGTATTACTTTGGCAAACATCCAGCTTAGCACATTAGGTGGACAGCATGTATTTATTTCTTACTAGTATTCATATTGCTATAAAAAATTATATTTAAAGATAAAAGTATCTCATTTGTAAAGTACAAAACCCAACATCCTTAATTTATAATAGTATTTGTATTGTTGTGATGTCTGTAAATTCAGTTTGTTTAATTTATTAATCAAGGGTGCATTTTTACCAACTGAGCTGTTGTTACTTTTAATAAACAAAGGCATTTCTGGATTATTTTTTTAAATAAATTTATTTATTTTACCAGGAACCTTTGAAATAATGAAACTAAATGTTATGACATGTATATAATAATATAATAATATTATATATAATATTCTGACAATTGTGAGAGGACCACAACTGCTCCAGAATCCGAGGTGTCCACTTCCAGGATGAACTGCTTCTCTGGATCTGGATGAGAGACGATGGCTGTAGAAGTGAACAATTCATTTAACTTGTAGAAAGCAGTGTTAGCTTCAGGAGACCAGCGAAGGATCTGAGTGTAATGTCGTGTATGCTGTTCAGTGTCAGGAGGGCTGTGATCAGTCTTACATCGGGGAAACAAAACAGCCACTGGCCAAAAGGATGGCCCAGCACAGAAGATCAACATCATCAGGCCAGGACTCTGCGGTCTACACTCATCTCCAGGCCAGCAGTCACTCTTTCAGGGATGAAGATGTTCACATCCTGGACAGAGAGGAACGATGGTTTGAGAGAGGAGTAAAGGAGGCCATCTTTGTGAAAAGAAATCGTCCATCATTAAACAGGGGTGGAGGCCTCCGGGTTCAACTGTCCCCCTCTTACAAAGCTGTGATTGCTAGTATCACTCAGCCCTCTGTGAGTAGTAAACAGCCACCAGTGTGCTAATGATCCATTGTTAGGCTGATGGTCCTTCTTGAGCATGTGATCAGCTGGTTTTGGTTGTCAGCAGCAAAACTGGTTGATCCACTCTGAGAAGGTGCTATTTAAGAGACTGAGCTGAATACAGCACCTCAGACTGAGGAAGTCTCTCGGATGAGAGACAAAACGTTTCTACATTTTTTTTTTTGTTGTTTTGCTTTGTTTTGTTTTTTTGAATGTCCAGAGGACCAGATTTAACTTTTTTAGATCTGAGTGTAGACATCACTCTGGTGAGGGGTAATGTGGCGTGGCTGTAGTTCTTAATGAACCATCTATAAAACTTGACAAATCTGAGAAAACATTGGAGCATTTTCCGTTTCTTGAGAATGGGCCATTCAGAGACTGCCTTAATGTTTTCTGGGTCTGTCCAAATCTGGCCACTCTCCAATGAGGGATAAAAATGTAAAATAAAGCAAACTACCTGAAAAGGTTACAAAAAAAGAGTTCCCAAAATAGATTCCTGAGAATCCAGACCTATATCAAAGATTTGCAATCCTAAATATTCTCAGATGGACTACACAAACATTGTTTTGTTGTGTTTGTTTTTTAAAAAGTACATAAATAAGAATGCAATGTCAACACAAAATGTATTTTTTAGTCATTTATGAGTATTGCTATTTCTGTAATATGTGCATTACTTGAGTTGCTTTCTGGAGATCATATCTAGATCCCTAAACCTGGTGTTTTGTGATCCACAGTAGAGTCCTGGCCCAAACTTTGGGAACTCCAGCTTATAAAGGCTGTGAAGTGGTTCCCTGGGGTCCAAAAGCTTTATGGATGAGTCAAGCTAAAAGCTCATCAAAAGATACACCAGAAAAATGTTTCTATTTAAAACTAGACATGCACAATCCACTTTTATTTACTTCTGATCCTATCCCCAAATCTTGATATTGGCCAAAATCAATACCGTCCTGATATCATCATTGATTTTTTAATAATAATCTCTTAGTAATAATCTCCTCTCAAGTACAATTTGTATCAAATATCTGCATGTCCAAAAAGGCAACAATAGGTATGTTTTAATAATGTTGGATAAAGTTTAAAAGTTAGAATTAAATCCTGCAAACACAAAACATGTTTTTTTATTCCTAGCTTTAAAGTGGATATTAAAGGGATTAAATGGCTTTAAACATCTTCTAAGTTCATGGCATAAACCAACACAGACATGTTCCTGTTTGTAGTATTTTACATCGCTATATATATATATATATATATATATATTTATTTATTTATTTATATATAATTTTCTTGTATTTTTCAATTCTTATGCTTTTTTATGATCGTCTACTGTTGTACTGATAAATATCTCCTGGAGGGTAAACTATATCTTGGCTGCAAGTATCAAGCTGAGAAATCCTTCGTTTTCTAAAACTGATAGAGGTTTGTCATTAATTATGATGAAGTTTAGCAACTTCTCGGTAAACTTCGAGCTCCGGTGCTTCAGCGGTGTGTTATTGTTATTCAGTCCGGAGAAGGCAGTCCGATTTCGGTCAGCCCCTCCTCCGAGATGGGCAGACTGAGCAGGTCAGACTAAGAGTGGCTGACCGAAATCAGACTGCCTTCTCCGGACTGAATGACAATAACACACCGCTGAAGCCCCGGAACTCGAATGTCCAACGTAAAACAAACTTTACTGCAGTTTAATGTGGTGCTATGGCTCTGCAGACTTTGCTGTCTTGTTTTGTGGTGTTTCTAGTGTAAAATACTTCCACGCAGCGGACATGTTTCGATGAAAAGTTAGTTAGCCGTTAGCCACAGTGCTACTGCACGTTGTAGCTGGCTGCAAACTATGAAATGGAGTTCCTGAATGTGAGGTGGGTCTTATTACTCTGGGTTCATGAAACACGCCTCCATTCAGGAAATCCATTCCATAGTTTGAAGCCAACTTGCAAAGCAGCTGGCAGGGAATCACATGTAGAGATGTTTTTCTTGGAGACAAAGACACGCATCATGGATCGGAAATCTCTGCAGGTTGGATCGGAAAAATCTAATACGTAAATTATGCTGGTATCGGAGCCCGATACTGGATCGGATCAGCCCCATCCCCATTTAAAACCATTAAAGCTAAAGTTGTGTTGTTGTTTTACACATCAAAAAGTTTCATGACTGGATATGCTGAAATTATTTTATTGTACAACTTGAGTTTCTCACAGAATGTGTTGAAACAAACCACAGACCTTGTTAAATATGGCTGTTCTATATGGAAAATAATATTTTGAACCTAAAGCTAAGAGTAGGCATTTGCAAAAAAAAAAACTTAATTTAGTGATTTGGTTAGACAGAAATTCATTTTTAAAGAGGATCTTTTCTGATTATCTTAACTTTCCCATCAGAACCTTTGATTTTCTAAACTGAAACTTTATTTCTATTGCAGGTAAGACACTGATTACTCATAACTATCCCACTGAAAAGCACTTGAAAAACCCTAACTATTTTTTGTTTGTTTGTTTGTTCTCTCCCATTGCTGAAATGTTTTGGGCACTTAGTCCTTTAAATAGAATATAAAACCTTGAAAATTATCATTTAATATTTGTTATTTGTAATAACTGTCCAAGAATTTGTAGAGCAATTTGTGTCTTTTAGGCTGTTTTGGGCAAAAGTAACAATAGCCTTCTTGAAACTAAGAAAATAAATAAAAGACATATACCTTAAACGTGGTTTAAAAAAAAGCTGCCCACAAGCAGAGAGACATAATTATTAAACAAAACAAGAGGAGATGGTCACAAACAAAAGCTCAAAGAGAAGAATATTGTCTAAAGTTTTAAAGCATGAAAATGTGAAAAAGGGAATGTTTAAAAGCAATCAGTAGGTGAAATTTTGACCTGAGGTGACTACCGGTATGAGATGTTAGGGAGCAAGAACAAATTATTGCCTAAAGGGCCTCTCATACCAGCTCCTCCATCATCCTGTCAGTGGGCCGGCTGAGCATTACTGCTGCCCTTTCAAAAAAACAACACTGAGATGTAGCTGCTGCACACAACTACCCTGGAGGAATACCATTATCTGACAGTTTCTTTAAACTTTTGTTATTTTTGTCACCTCAAGGCAACAAAAAGATTATTATTTGCACCCTAGGAACTTATCAAAGATGAAAAATCTATTGCAGTCCTAATTTGATCATTTAACCCTTTACAGCCAGACAATCAGACGTACCTGCTGCCATGTTTATCATGACTCCTAACACTGAATACTGGTAGGGCTAAAAGATCACGTAAGATCTTTGTCTAAAACTTTGGCACTTTGTTGTAGTTAACCTTTTGTCTGTTAGAAAAATATCTCATGAAGGACATAGGACAGATTTTAATGAAACTTAGAAATGTATCATTGGATGTACATTTACAACTACAGTAATTCACTAAACTAATTCAACTAGATCACAGACAGCAGACACAAAAAATCATTCTAACATGGTCAGTTTTACAGATACTGAGCTACAATTTAGTGTGGTAGTAGCTGGGAGTCATCTCACACATGCATTCTGAGCATTAACAGATCACATGAGATTTTTTTTTATCTTTGTTATACAAGCCCTTGGGCTTGTTGGAAAAATGAACATTTCTTAAATTTCCAATGAAAGCTCATATAGAAAACAACCAAAACCAGAAAGTTATCAGGGAGGTAAACCTCTCATGTTTATTGGAAAACAAACATCTACAAAACAGAATTGTCACTGCCACTGTGGTCAAGTTTATAATAGTAAATTTTATATATATATATAT